CATCTTTGTTGTGGGGGGCAGTGGTGCCACCTTCTCTCTCTCCCCCATTGCCATTCAGCAGTCGCAGGGTTGTGATTATTGTTCCAAATAATACATTTCTCAATAAAAGGACATAAAACAACAATGGTTATGTGAAGATACTAAGTTGCAGTGAAGTCAGAGTTGACGGCACACATTTTTAATTTTTAATGCTGGCATTACCAGTCATAGTTGGATTTTTTCCCTTTGGACTCTTGCTCCTAAGGTCTGAGTTCTTTTATGCTTGATTTTGGTGGTGTGGGGTGGTCAAGGGTTGTGCTGATTTTCTTGGCTGTTTTGTGAAACAAGGGCCATCTTTGGTTTAAATTCATACCCTGATGTAAGCAGAGGAATGCTCACAAATTATCTTGGATGTGGATTTTGACTTCGGTGCGGTGAGGCAAAGCAGCTCTGCCTTCTTACCGTCGGTTTCCTGTGCTCAGTCGCGAGGAATGGAGGGAAGCCGCTCTCGGTGGCTGCCGTGTGGCCCGAAGGCTCCTGTGGATGTCGAGTCTGCTCCAAGGCTCTCCCCCTTTTCTCGGGACTGACCCTCGCCTTCGCACGTCGCCCCTCTTTCCCTTCTCGTCGTCTCCTCCCTCTTTGGAAGGAGGAAGTAAGGGAGGCAGGCTGGGGAGCAGCGGAAGGAAGGGGAACCGGCCTTGGCCGTATCTCTATTTTTAGCTCTTTGTGTAGTAACGTCTCGTTTAGTCCGAATGATTACCCTGTAAAGTAGCCGTTAGTTCCAGAAGAGGGAATTAGCAGTTAGAGTCTGGTGACTGGTGGAACTGAGATGTAGACTCAGATATTCCCAACTCCAGACGGGCTTGTGCTGAGCCATCTGGAGGTGACCTTGGAGATCCTCTGGCTCAGCTTCATCTTGTATCTAAATAAATCCATTATGTGTATGGTACTGTTCACCAGAAATGTGTTACCTACGGAGACTGTGCTAAGCACTTTATATGCATTATCTAATCTAATGCATATCCTAAGCCACAGGGAGATGAAGTAGCTCGCTTAGTCACCGAGCAAATGGCACAGCCTAGGCGTAAACCTGAGATCGTCTGACTCCGACTCCAGAGTCCATTTTATACTGCATCAGCTCGATGTTTTTCTCCTGCAGGGAAAAACTCAATTTGACAAAGGTTTAAGTGACATTCTCAAGATCACCAGCTCTTTGGTGGCAGAACAAAGTCTAGACTCTAGATTTGCCTACTGCAGATAGTTTGTTTGCGGCACTGTTCTTTCTGCTGTTCTGCAGTGGGCGACAGTCAGAAATGGGATGAAATAAAAGTCTAACCAAAATGGAGTTGGGGCTCTTTATGGCCCCTGATTCTGCTACATGCCAGGGCTTAGCCCTCTGCAGTCTCATGAATTGCTAGGGAGCTTGTTCGTCTGTGGGAAGTAAGGTGTAGAAGTATCTTTATGAGTTATAGCTACTAAAAATACGCACACCCATGCATTAATTTCCTTTTTTATATCAGTGAACACTGAATATAATAAATCAGAAAAGGGGTTTCTGAGAGTTCACTTTATAAATTGCTTTCAATTCTAGGTACAGTTCAACTAAAGTTATTCATTGCATGAGATTACTTTTTAAAAATTTCTGTATCGTCAAGAGTAACATGTCAAAATATGGTGAAAATAGTTCTTTTCTCAGAAACGCTGGAAGCATCTCTCAGTTCAAGCAAGTTTCTTTCCAGTGCAGTGTGTATAATAAATCACCTTTTCTCTGCTTCGAAATTGTCAGCAACAGAATGGAAACTCTAGCACTTACCAGAGGATCAAGTACCGAAGTAAAAATAATCGGCCTTTTAGCTGTCACATGGCATCCGTAAATCAAAGCCATTTTCTGGAAGAAAGTAGCTCTTATCTTCACTGAATGAGCAGCCGTGGCTGTTGACCTTTGATGAGTGCAGCGTCGCAGGGTGTGATCTGGGCATTGCTTCTTGGGATCCTGGCGCTCCCCTGGCGCCCGCGGAGCTCACGGAGGCAGAGTGCAGAGCGATGGGCGGGGAAACACCGACACGCGGGGGGGGGCCTGTGCCTGCCTCGTCTCATCACAGAGAGGCCGGACCAAGTAGAGGCTCTTTTTTTTCTTTTTTTAATTCACCTTTTTTTATTTTTTAAAAATATGTTTTTATTGATTTCAGAGAGAGGAGGAGAAAGGGAAAGAGAGAGAGAAACAGAGTGAGGGTCATGGACCGGCTGCCTCCCGCCCGCCCCTGCTGGGGTCGAGCCCGCCGCCCGGGCTGCGCCCCGACGGGGATGGAACCGCGACCCCCTGGTGGGCAGGTGGAGGCGCAGCGGGAGCCGGGAGCCGAGGCCAGGCTGGCAGGTCGAGGCTTAGTCTCGCCGCCCCCCTCCTTCCTGCGCTCTCACGCCCGGGCTCTGCGGGAGTTTGATGCAAGGCGGGCACCCCGGGCCGACGGGGACGGGACAGTAACTTTGCCCGTCCCGTGTGTCCAGCGTCCCGGCCCTGCCCTTCACGTTGCACACTCTGAGTGGTGAAAGGGAAAGAGAAGCGGGGAGGCCACGGGACCCCCGCGTCAGTGCGCGGGGCGGAGGCAGCTGCGCG